TGAATCCAAGCCTCCTGACTCCAAGCCTCATCTCCCATCCACTGAACCAATCTGCCCCTTGGGTGGTGATGAGTCACTCCTGTGCTAGGCTCCAGCCAATCCAAAAGCCAGGAACTGGTCTTGTGACTCCCAGACCAGGTATTGAAGGTACAGGAGGAACAGCTGCTCAGTCTGCTCAACACCACTCTGGGGCTTGGAACTCATTCCTGCCTGATAGTGGCAACAGACTCCCCAAACCTTAGTCCTGCTCCAGCCTTGCACCAACCCCACCCTCGCCTCCTAGGCCTGAGCATACCCAGGACAGTTTCCGACACCTCCATCTTTTTTCTTACTGGTTGCAAAGCACTCTAGACCTCTATGGCAGTCTTCCAAAATAGTCATGAAAATTTGCTAGCCCAGGCACAAAATCAAATTGCTCACCCGTGCTTAGTGAAAATACAAATGATAGTGCACTTACCCATCAAATAAATTATTCACCCCAGGCATGTGGACAAGGAGAACTTTGGAAGACTGATATTGATGATAATCCTTTTGGTTTGGGATGGCTGTGTGGATGTAAGTGGTTTATAAGACATACAAATTATTGGGGCCCAAACAACCTCAGATGTTTGCCCCGAGACTTCAAATACCAGACTCCCATATAAATCCTGGTAAAATCACCTATGTATGGCACATAAGCATTCTTGCAGTTAGCCTTTGGTCTTCTTTTGGTCATTTATCCTGCCCTAGTGTTTGTGGTATGATAACAAATGGAGAGAGAATACACTGAGAAACATTTCTTATTGCATGAAGCATCCTACACAGAGTTTATGATGGAGCACGTTCTCTGGAGTTAAAAGAATGTTCACTTGATTTATGCAAACTATTCACCCCCAGGTTGTTGGCTTGTATGGGGTTTGTTAAAGAGAGACCTGGAAGAGCTACATGGACCCTTTTGTAAGTGTCCTGCTAAGAATGGAGGAGTAGATATTCTCAGCATGGGCTTGGTGAGACGTGCCCATTCAGCACAGTGCTACTATCTCTCTCCAAGGTCCTGAAGAGAGACAAGCCAGTCTTCAGAGACTAGATTGATTGAGCTGTGGGTTTTTTCCCCTTGAGGTTTGGCGAGGGTAATTCAAATTGTGAACGTCAGTCAGGCCTAATCACTACTGTATCACTTAGCTATTTTAAGAGGGTGCTGGTTCTTGGTATTCTTTACCCAACGCTGCCTCAATTTCCAAATATAAAGTAGCTAAAATCGAGATGGGTAGGAAAGAAAATAGCTTTTAAGGCTATTTTTTTAGCAGCCATTTTTAGGCCTGAGATTAGCAACATTAAATTTGATATTTGCTTAATTTCCCTAACCCCACCTCTTAGTAACCATTGTTTTAGCAACTAAGAAAGAATCTGCTTCAAAATACAAAGCTTTTCCTGCTAGTTGGTGTTTGTTTGTTTTTAAAGGATTTCTGTACTTTATTTTCTACTTGATTTGTGGTTTGGTTCTTTTTTATAATTTCTCTTCCTCCCCCCTGCCCCCTCCCCCCCCCCAGTTCAACTTGCGGGAAATTGTTTCACATTTTAACCAAGCTGTACTGAGGTTTCAATTCAGTAAAGAACTCAATGGAACAATTCACTTGCTTCAAGTTATGCCTACAGTAATGTTCCTTGATGAATCGGGGCCTATGCCTTCAAAAGATTTCTGATCGGTAGCTCCATAAACAGCAGATCTGATTCACATCTCCATTAATCCAGTTGTATGGTAGTATAACTCCAGTGAAGTGACACTGGTGCAAAACTGGAGTAACCCAGTGGTAAATCAGGCCCAGTATCAGAATTCAACATAAAGCAAACAGTAAATCATTCATTTGAAGCCTGTTTATGAATGGGCATAAGTAGGAGTCTGGGCTAGAGGGCAGGAAGGGTTTAGAGTCAGAGGAGTTGGGGTGTGATATCTTTGCAAAATATGGTTTGTGTGGGAGTTATATCTATGGGACTGTACATGGAAGTGAGTGTATCTGTATGCAGCAGGGGTGTGTGTGTGTGTGTGTGTAAATGTCAGTGTGATATGGGGAAGGGTGTGTTTGCAATGCTCATGGTGGGTGCATGTTACATGCATGTGGTTCTTTGTTTGTGGGACATAATTATGTGGTCTGAGTGGATGTGTCAGGGAGACTGTGAGCATCTGTATGGGGCTGAGGGACTATGTGGGTATGTATGGCAAGACTGAGCATGTGCCTGGTGATGAGTGTGTCTGTGGGAGGTGTGAGAGTCTGCGATCTGCATACGGGGGATGTGTGTGAGAGACAGGTGTGAGAACAATGTGTGTGTTGGGCAGGGGGAAGACACACATGTCTGTGAGCAGGACAGGAAGAGTGACTGGTGGAAACAAAACTGAATTCTTTGTATGCCATATCCTAAATCCAAGCAAAATGCACAATACATTTGTGCATTATTCCATGCAAAATACGGCTTCCCAAAGTCAGCATTGGCAGGGATCGCTGTAGCTGTGAGACTTTTGCTGATTCTTTGCTGCTTTTCTATCTACTGTTGAAGAAGTAAAATTTTGAGTCAAAACCCCTCATTCACTAGCATCCTGTTTTCCAATCCCTGCTACCCATTTGGTGATCCCTCATTTAGCACCAGTTGATTTACCATACAATGCAAGGGACTGAAGTTTAGTATTGGTGGCAAGCAACAGATGATGGGACAATGATTGCAATGCACAAGAAAGTGACTAAACTAATAATTTGGCTAGATTAATGAGATGCACATAATTTCCAATAGCTGCCTCTTTCTTATGATAGCCAGACAATTATTCTTTCAATATAATGACTGCACACATCTGGACCCAATTATCCAAATGCATGGTGATCATTTAGATTTAGCGCCAGGAAGCCGGGAGATGCCAGATCTGGCCTTTTTGCCCAGACAAAGTGGCGACATCCATTCAGGAAGGGACCATGGCTTCTTGGTACCCAGGGATGCTGGAGCAGAGTTCACCTAAGTGCGATTTCTATTGGGTTCAGTTGTCCCAAGGTGAGCATCAGAATGAGATGTTATGAGGAGCTGTGCTTTGAAAAGAGTACAACCAGTTCACTGGAGTATACATTTTGTGCTTTGTAGTTTTTCTTGGTAATTGCAGGCCTAACCATAGGTACCACTTTATGTAGTTATCTATCACATCCTTTTCCCTACCCTTATAATTGAAATAATTTTGCTACAGATGCCATCCTTCTTTTTTACCTAGCAATTTTCTTAACCCTTCCTAAAATAAGACACTTTTTTTTTAAATCCCAAGCACAGACTAGATGGGGATGAAAGCTTTGTTTCCGGCAGGTTCTTGAGAACTAAGAATTGCTCCTAGTCTGCCCCCAATTTGGCTCTGGTGCCCTTACTTCTCAAAGAACTGTTCCGCTGCAACTAGTCACGGGCATGCATTGCTGGTGACTGCGTATTCTGCATGCATGCACGCTCGGCCAGTCTGGTGACATGCAGTTCGCAGAGCCATGTAGTTTGAGACTTTTACAGCCTGACTTCAGTCTGTCTCTACTGAAAATGTTGTTTATCAGGGCCTAGATGTCACGAGGGGCATAGAAAGGCAGTACTGTGGTCAGGTGCATACCGAAGCTGTCCAGATCCTGTCCTAGCATTTCAAGTGCATAAGAAAAAAATCATTTCCAAACCTAGATTACCTCTGCACAGAAGATTATCAGTATTTAAAGATTGCTTCACAACACAAACCAAACAGATTTAAAATGGGCTCCTGATTCTTTCCCAGCTATGTGAAGCAGAAGGCTGCAATTGTATTTTCTTTTGGGGAAAACCCTAGCAGTGAAAAATTATTACTTTTAAATAGATCATTCTGTTTCTTTTTGGAAAAACTAAAAGCTGTTTCAGGTAACATTTAATGTTGCCTTCTTATCTTATCACAAAGCAGTGAGCTGTGTTTTCCAGAGACATGTCTTGCAAGAAGAGCTTTTTCCCAGCTTCCAGGAAGACACAAAATTGCAATGTTTATGAGACCTATCTCAGTCTGAGAGTTCTGGAAAAGAACACCATTGGAAAGCCCAGTTTTGATAGACACACACCCAACAAAAACAACAGGCCAGCCTTGTTAATTCCATTGGCTTCTAGCAGATAGGCCTGATTATTCTTATGGTGGCAGTTTAGATTAGATGGAATGATACAGCCACTTGCAGCAGAAATACAGCTGTTCGGCCTTAAAGCCTGTAAGTCTGACAATTTTTGATCACCCTCACTGAGTTTTCTTGTTTTTATTTAATCCACATTTCCCCTCAACATTTTATTAAGCCATGCTGAGAGAAGAGCTCTTTCTATCCCTCTGAGCCCCTACAAAATGCATTAAGCTGTAGTGAAATAGGAGCATAAGAACCCTGTTTGAATGAAATTATCTTGCCCAGTATTATCAAGTGTAGGTTTGCATTTGGAGGGGACAGGAAGGCGATACATGGATGTAAAGATCTGACCCTTGCTGAGAGCATTTGCCATCTGTTTCTTATAGCTAGAGTTTCAAATATCTGTACAAGATCTCGCAGCAGTGCAATGACCATTCTATCCATGGCTGCTTTGCAGGCTTGGTGGAGATCCTACAGGTTATGGTGGTGCAGTAATGACTCTGAATCCAACTTGGCCTATCTCCTTTCAACTTGGCTACGCTGCCTCCTGCTTTCCCGTATTAGATCTTTCTCCCTCTTGCTCCCATACCCTCCTCTGAAAAGCTCTGGTCATCTAAGTAGGGAGAAAAAGCTTAGAGCCCCATTGAACATATGAGGCAGCTTGTGGCAAACGCTGGGATAATGCCATGCTGGGTTGGTTTTCCTGTACCCTGTAGGAAACTGGTATGATCATCACTTGCTCCCAACTAGCAGGCTGCAAACTCTGAGAGTTCAGCCCAGGCAAAGGGTCCCTCTTATGGGGGAGGCAGGAGAGATTTCTTCTAACCTCTTATTTCCTTTTATCACGGCTTGAGCCAGCTCAGAAGATACTAACACATCACCTACCTCCATCCGAGTAGGTCTCTGTCCCGTAGCCGTCCTGTAATCCATTGCTCCAGGTGCCTTCATATTTGGCCCCATTGCCAGTGCATTCACGGACCCCGTACCGTCCCTTAAATCCATGAGTCCACTCTCCTTTGTACACCCACTTCCCCTTGCTCTCCACACCGATGCCATGGCGCTTGCCCTGTGCCCAGGTGCCCTGGTAAGTGTTGCCACTGGGCCAGGTGTAGACCCCCAGCACCTCAAAGCCGTGACTCCAGGAGCCGGTATACTCGCCTTGACCCTTCGGGCCGGTACAGATTCCGTGGCCGTGAGCCTTTCCGTCCTCCCAGCCTCCACAGTAGGAGCCTCCATCGTCAAAATTAAACCTTCCCCCACTGGACATGCATGTAATTCGGTTTGCAAAGCCCCCAGAAGGTGAAAAAAGAAAATGGCAAAAAAACCTGAATTATTATTTAATCAAATCTGAATGGTGCACCAGGTCCAGCGTGCTGCTTCAGTCAATTTCTTGGGGTTATTCATCCTCTAGGAGGATCCTCAGGATCAGTCCCTTCTTCTCCTGCTGTGGAAACAGTATCACACCAAAAAAAAGGGGGGGGGGGAGAGGGCGTGGGGGGAAATAGCAGCAAGAGCAGCAGCAGCTGAAGGGTTTTGGTGCAAACGACTCCACCTAAAAATCATCCAAGGCAGAGCCCAGGAAAGGGAAATAAAGGGGGAGGGGGAGAAGAAAGTGTGTGGGGGGGGGATGGGGGGGAGACTAACTGCCAACAATTTTTTTTTTTTAAAGAATCCTTCTCAAATCAGAAGACACCCAGGGTCTCAGCCCCACGCCTGTGACCTCCACCGGGGGCTGCCCGCTGCTGATGCTGACTCGCGCGCCCCAGCCCCGGCAGAAGCGGCGGCAGCATATTGGAGGCTCGTGGCTCAGCAGCAATGCAGTGTCTGTGTCTCCCCGCCTCGCGCTCGCGCTCACACACACACACACACACACACACACGCTTCACACACACACGCTCTCTCGCCTCACCCTAGGAAACAACGGGAGCTGCTCTGATTCCTTCCCCCTGCAAACCTCACTCCGCTCGGCCTCCGCTCGGCCTTTGCAATAAGTCCCGCATCTTGGTGCAAAGATGCTTTCAGCAATGGGAAGGATGGGGAGGGGGGAGAAGGATCTGGAGGGAGGGGGGGTGTCTCTTTTTTTTTTTTGTATCTCCAGTCTGGAGGGGGCGGGGGGGGAAGAGGGGTCGTCTTGCTTCCCCCGCTCTCCCTTCGGTCCCCTTCTTCCCGTCTTCCCAGTGGTTATAAATCTTGCTTATTAAGGAGAACAGCTCCTAGGCGGGCTGCTCTCGATTCCATGCTCAGCCCGGATTTAAAGAGACAGGAACTGCGTAATGTGGAGACTCCCAGAAGAGAGCTCTCCCACCAGATGCTTAACCCACTACCTCCTTGGGCACAGCGGGCTTATCTCAGACAAAACAGGCTGCGGGGTTAGCCTGCGGCGGGGTGATGATTAATGGCAGGCTGGAATCTGTCAGCCCAGTACCTAGAAGAAAAACAAACCCTCTGCCTTGTCTCCTTTATTTATTGCTGCCTCTCCATTCCTCACCTACCCCTCTCCCCATATTTAATTGCTGGCTAGTCTGTGCTTCTGGACCCTGCTTAAAAGAAAGGAGTGTCGATTTATCTTAATGTTATGGGGCCAAACATATTGTTAACCCCCCCTCCCCGCCAAGCCTTGGGGCAAAAACTGCCTTTGGTACAGGGCCAAGCACACTGATGGTGCAAAAAGACATTATTAATTAACTATAGGTGGTGGTGGTTGTTTAATGCATACACCAGAGTCTGAGCTGTGTTCATAAACCATCTGCCATTCTGTCCAATTCCTATTAAAGTTGTCTCACTTCTAAACCCCATTTTACTTCACGACCATCCTTCCCCCACAAAGACAGGCAAGAGAGCAAAGAGCCAGCAACAAACATGCACCAGGATGCTACAGGCACTCCTGGAATGATTTTACAGGCTAGAAAATGATAAACATACTGAAGCTACTCAAGAGGATGCTGCTGTGGAGCTGTAGTCACAGCAGCAGTGAATTCCAACCGCATAAGGCTCCAATCCTGAAAAAGCATGTGCTTAATTTAAGCACCTGAGTATTCCCACTGGAGATATGTGTTGAAGTGTTGGCAGGATCAAGGTTTATGTTTTCATGGATTAAAAGCGGGGCTTTGAAAAAATATTTTTTTAATATCGTTCACATGAGCTGGACCCTGGAATCCTGGGGTGGGAGGGAGGGGATCAGCCTCCTTCAGAAAATGTTTGAGATTTTGACTCCTAGCCACCTGTTTGGGTAACTGCATAGTCTTTCCACTTTATTTTATTTATTTATTTATTGTTAATTAGTGATGGACTCGAGGCAAGATTATGTTTGGATCTGGACTCAGATCTGAGGCCCCAGTTCAGCAAAAAAAATAAGCAATCTGCTTAACTTTAAGCAAGTGCTTAAGTTCCATTCAAATCCATAGGACTAAGGGGCACATGGTCAAAGACAAATAAATGCTTAAGTGCTCTGCTGAACAGAGATGTGTTACTGAACTGAGACCTGAGTCTGTATTTGCCCAGGGGGAGGATTCAGATGTAGGATTCCCATTTGGGTCCATCTCTATTAGTAATTTTGCACCCTATCCAGTAGAGTAATATATTTTAATGTTTATTACATTCCAGTCTGTAAGAATATATTTGCTTGGTAACCTTTAGCCTCTCATTCCTAATTATTCTAAGTTACTCCTTTGTATTAGAGTAGCATTTAGAGGTCCCAACTAAGATCAAGGGCCCATTGTGTTGGGCACTGTACAGTCACACAGCAAGCGACGGTCCCTGGGGCAAAGAACTTGGAACCTAAATAGACATCAGAAACACAGAACCTGGAAAATTTTTCAGTTTTTTGGCAACCAAAAGATCACTTTTTGTTTTATTTCCAACAAAAACCCCAAAACAATTCCAAGACAATTTTTGAGGAAAATAGAAATTGGTTTAGACTTTGTCACAAATTTTCAAGGGGAAAAAGGAATTTCCTTGCCAGCTCCAGATACAATATAAAAGCAGAGAGATGAGAGTGATGCCCGGCATGCATCACGTCACTTCCATTTTTCCCTCAGCCACTTTAAAGTATCCTCTGTGTATTTTCACGTTAGCCATCTTCTTTTTAAATGTGAGCAGCCACCATTCTACTCCACCAGCTGATTCTAATGAGTTCCATACTCTGTAGAAATCACCTACCAGTGCGTATGCTCATCTGCACCAAAAGCCATGCGTAGCACAACCACTGGCTAAATTCACTCCAAACAACATGTACATAAGAACGGCTATACTGGGTCGGTCCATCGAGCCCAGTATCCTGTCTTCCAACAGTGGCCAGTGCAAGGTGCCCCAGAGGGAATGAACAGAACAGGTAATCATCAAGTGGTCCGTCCCCTGTCATCCATTCCCAGCTTCTGGCAAACAGAGGCTAGGGACCCCATCCCTGCCCATCCTGGCTAATAGCCATTGGTGGACCTATCCTCCGTTAACTTATCTAGTTCATTTTTTTTTTTAAACCTTGTTGTAGTCTTGGCCTTCACAACATGTGGGGAGGGATAGCTCAGTGGTTTGAGCTTTGGCCTGCTTAAACCCAGAGTTGCGAGTTCAATTTTTGAGGGGACCATTTAGGGATCTGGGGCAAAAATTGGGGATTGGTCCTGCTTTGAGCAGGGGGTTGGACTAGATGACCTCCTGAGGTCCCTTCCAACTCTGATATTCTATGATCCTCTGGCAAGGAGTTCCACAGGTTGACTACATTGTGTGGAAAAAATACTTCCTTTTGTTTGTTTTTAAACCTGCTGCCTATTAATTTCATTTGGTGACCCCAGTTCTTGTGTTACAAGAAGGAGTAAATAACACTTCCTTATTTACTTCCTCTACACCAATCATGATTTTATAGACCTCTATCATATCCCCCCTTAGCTGTTTATTTTCTAAGCTGAAAAGTCCCAGTCTTATTAAGCTCTCGTTATATGGCAGCCGTTCCATACCCCTAATCATTTTTGTTGCCCTTTTCTGAACCTTTTCCAATTCAAACAGATCTTTTTTGGAGATGGGACGACCACATCTGCACGCAGTATTCAAGATGTGGCTGCACCATGGATTTATATAGGGGCAATATATTTTGTCTTTTTATCTGTCCCTTTCTTAATGATTCTCAACACTGTTTGCTTTTTTGACTGTTGCTGCACATTGAATCGATGTTTTCAGAGAACTCTCTACAATGACTCCAAGATCTCTTTCTTGAATGGTAACAGCTAATTTAGACCCCATCATTTTATATGTATAGTTGGGATTAAAAAACATTTAATGAAACCTTGTTTAAAAAAATCAAGATGGAATTGCATTTCAAAAGCAATCAGTAATCTATTAATACTGCACTCAGACAAATTTAGGCCAAATAGATATTGCAGGGAGTTTATAGGTGTGAGGTTTAGTGATGGGGTAGTTCCTGTAGCTAGGCCATTCGGCATGCTTTCTGATTTTAAAACTGAAGATTATTTTAGGTGCAGCACCCCAGTGGCCTCAGTGCTAGGGGCAATTTCTACCTTCGTTTATTTCCCTGTCATTCTCAGTCTATAGTTGCAGAAGATGAGGCCAATGGGAAGGGCATTGGGTAAATGTTTTATTTCCATATTTTGACATCGCTGGTCGTTGTTTTTACTTAGAATCATAGAAGGTTAGGGTTGGAAGGGACCTCAGGAGGTCATCTAGTCCAACCCCCTGCTTGAAGCAGGACCAATCCCCAATTTTTGGCCCAGATCCCTAAATGGCCCCCTCAAGGATTGAACTCACAACCCTGGGTTTAGCAGGCCAATGCTCAAACCACTGAGCTATCCCTCCCCCCCATTGTTGGTGCTATCCCTCTCCAACTTGTTGTTGGTGCCCTTGGATGAGCAGCACATAGTGCACCGTAGTTGCTTTTGGGGCGAGGCATCATTAAAGAATGACGAATGCTCACTTCATGGCTATTTCTGCCCCTCATCTGTTAGCACATCACTCTGTAGCTGGTGAAGATCAGTTACACATCTACACAACAAAACTTCTCTTGCTCATTAACCCCGTGAGAGATTTAGACTAAATGAAGTCCAGATCCAGTCCAAGGAAAGCTCGCCCCCTTGCAACCAATGCCCCTTGCTAAATTGCTTGCAACACTCCTGACTCCCTATCCTGTGCATGCTGCCTCTGGCTCCCCCTCCTTTGACTCTGTGGGTCTCAATGCCCCATCCCAGTCCCAGGTCCTGATCTGTGGAGACTTCCTTAATCCATCCCCAGCCTTATCCTGAAGCTAGCAGAAGAGCAGCAGAAAGCCTGGAAGGCAGTGTAACCATGGGGGCGGGGGCCGCTGGTTGGAAGGCAAGGGTTCCACCAATGGGGAGATGGCCTCTTTGCAAATTTGTTGTGGAGCAGTGCTCTCTGGTGACTTTCTTCACAGCTCTGCCCGAGGAGCTGGGGAGACATGGCTGGTGTGGGAGCATTACTGCATGGGTCCGTTGGCCAAAAACACATGAGGGCAGGGCACAGATGCTGTTTGTGGCCCTGAGTCTCTGTGACCTGGGAGGAGTCATTGAAGCCTCTTTCTGTTAGATCACTTCCCACTCCCAGCAATCCACAGGCCATGTAAGATGATGATTGATCCGGCCATCTTGCCAGGGGTGGGGGTAGCAAAACTACCGATTAAGTTAATTAGAGAGACAAGGTGAGTGAGATACAACTTCTGCTGGTGAGAGAGAGAAGCTTTCAAGCCATAGCTCTGTGTAAGCTCAAAAACTGTCTCTCTCACCAACAGAAGTTGGTCCAATAAAATATATTACTTCACCCACCTTGTCTCTCTAATATCCTGGGACCGACACAGCTGTAACTACACTGCAGGCTGAAGTCAACATCCGTTTCACCTGCCTAAATGCTGCAATATCAGCCCCAGAGTGGGTATATTTCTTGAATACCGGGAATTATTTATTGGATCAACTTCTGTTTGTGAGAGAGACATGCTTTTGAACTCCACAGAGCTTTTCTTCAGGTCTGGGAAAGGTACTCAGAGTGTAACTTGAAAGCTCGTCTCTTTCACCAACAGAAGTTGGTCCAATAAAAAATATTTACCTCACTCACCTTGTGTCTCTGAGACCAACAGAGCTGCAGCAACACTGCAAACAGGAATTATTTTGGCATTCATTTGGTCAAATCTTGACACATTTCCCCAGTATTTTAAAGGGGACAGTTATTAACTCAAGGTAGTGGGTTTCCACTTACACTAATCATCTTAT